TATCGATCAAGACAAGAATAACATGTATATTGGAGATAAATAACAATGAAACTGTGTGACTTCGGAGTCACAGTGGACAGTAAAGAATTAAACCATCGAGAAACTCTCGAGTTTATATTTTAGCCTCACTTCCGACCTGAACTTTCTAATACCTAAAATATATTCTGAAAAATCAGTGCACATGGAAACTCAAGTCTTAATTGATGTCTCTAAATGATGAAAAACACACTTGTGGGCTCCAAAGCTCTGGAAAAATTGTACGGTAAAAAAAAAAATCAAAAAAGGTTGATATAGACTTCAGAATATCAAAGTAAGCGTCAAATATAATATTGAAAGAAGAAAATCAGAATTTCAACATGGGTTGTATGTTTAATGCATATGGAAGATCTACTTAGAGTCTTTATATGGCGGAAAACGCGCAAAATGCCGTTTGTAGATTTTAAAAAGAACTTCTCGGCAAAGTCAGTAGGTTAAATAGAATCAGAAAAAATCGAGGTAGACGCGCGGAGTATCAAAGTAGACGTTAAAAGGAATATTGAGGTCGAAAGTAGGATCAACATTTCGACTCGGTCTGTTTATGCATTCTATGCCAGAATACCGCGTCTGTAGAGATATATGTACCTATGACCTAAAATCACTCGCACAGGATGGATTTACGTAAGGGCCCTTTTTACGAAATCCACCAAGGAATTCATATCGGAAGCACTGTATGCGCGATTTGATCGCGACAGTAGCGGTAATCGGACGGGCGTCGTTTTGGCGGCTAACTGACGCGTGATATCGATTCTCGCTTGGAGAGAAAGAGGGAGAGGGGAGACAGAGGGAGAGAGAGAGAGACACGAGTCCCGCGTGTAACGACACTTGCCTCAGGTCGCGTAAACCGGCGGGATAATATATGTTCCAGGCACAGAGGGGCCGGAAAGGGGGAGGGAGCGAACGGTAAAGGGTTATCGCGGAACGGCGGCCGCAACGCAAGCGAAATTACAACACCGCGTGCATTCGGCAATCCAACGAGATCTCTCCCACAATAAAACGCGCGCTCGTGCACTCGCGTGTTCTCTCGCCAAAGGAGCTGTCTTGCGCGTTCGCGCTTTAATTAAAAGTGTGCCACGCTCTCTCGCCGAAATACACATACGTGCGTTCGTGCAACACCTCGGCACCAGTATCGATGTCGACAGGTAAACGTTACACGCAACTTTATGCGCGAACGTTCGATCGGTCGTTATTCTGTATTACTCTATTTGACGATTAAACAACTCCCATACGCGCGCGCACATGCACGCGGTTTCCTGTTTGCTTATTGAAATATCCACGCCCTCGTTTCCCTCGAAACTCTATAAAGTACACGCGTCTTTAAACGTAGTCTTTAACGTTGTCGATTGCCAACGATCGTCCCGGTGACTTTTGATATCGCCGCGCATGCTCGTAGCGATTTATAATTAAATCCGCGACACACAAAGAATATGCTTGTTCTGTATAAGAGAGGGAATAGTGAGGGGAATTCTTTGTGGTGGATTTCCGAAATACAAAAGAAACCTGTATCACACAAGATAATCTGCTGTCGCTAAAGTTCTCTTTCGCTTATGATGAAATGCGTCAAAAGTCCACGACACGAACGCTACTTTGTCCCAAGCCGAAATTGTACCCCATTTCCGATCTCAATATTTCCCACTTGATGCCTACTTTGATACTCTGAAGCTTATATCAATCTCTTATAATTCTACTTAAGCTACCAGCTTTGCCGAGAAGTCTTCTTTAGTACCAGCAAGCATTTTCTGTGTTTTCGGTTATTCAGAGGTGCTAAATGCTAGGTGTTAGGACTTCAGTTTTCATGTGTAGCGAACATAAACCCCGGATCAATCTCTTGATCCTTCTTTTGACCTCAATATTTCAGGTAACACCTAGTTTCGTACTCTAAAGTCTACATCGACCTCTCTTGTTTCTATTTAACCTACTAACTTTGCCGAGTGTTCCACTTTAAAACCTATAAATGGTATTTTGTGCATTCTCCGTTGTATGAAGATGCTAAGTAGGACTTGAGTTTCTATATGTAGTAAACCTCGAATCGAAATCTTGATCCTTCTTTTGACCTCAATTCCATGTAACACTCACTTTGATACTTTGAAGTTTATATCGATTTCTCTTGTTTCTATTTAACCTACTAGCTTTACCAAGAGATTCTGTTTGGGTGCGTTCGGGGAGCTCGCTATCAACCCTAACGCTACCAACTCTATTCACGGAGCCAAGATAGTGCTAGCGAATGTAAGCTCCATGAACAGCAATAGCGTAGTGTTAAGGGCGGTCGTATTGAGTGGTTGAAATTTAACACAAATTTGTGTGATTTTACATCTTGTAATTGAATTTCAACGTAATTTATTTTTTATATGTAAAACATAAATCGAATCGAAATCTTGATTTTTCTCTTAACTTCAATATTCCATGTAACGCCTACTTTGGTACTCCGAAATCTATATTGACCTCTCCTGTTTCTATTTAATCCCTAGCTTTGCTGAGAGTTCCTCTTTAAAACCTACAATTGGCATTTTGTGCGTTTTTCACCACATAAAGATGCTAAGACTTTAGTGTTGACTTTAGTGCATTAAATACACACTGATATCTCAGAATATATTGAGAACGCTAGAAAGTTCAGGGCGAAAGCAAGGCCAAATTTTCTACTTCGGGATTATATCGCCTTATTCGTAATACATCGCCGCAGACGATTGTCCTTTGCTGTTGCTCTAAGAATTAACACGCGATCGTCATTCGCGATGATTGTTCGTTTAACTGTCCGAGCGAGGAGTTGCTGTTGCGAAAACGCGTGCAAATCTACAGACGAGGCGTCCTCACGAACGAACGTTCGTTTGTACGGGCGCGCTCACCCGCCAACACGAGCTTCGTTTTTGCGTGTGGAATTAATTAAAACGCGCAAAGTAAGAGTGATGTCCGAGCCTCCCATCCACCCCTTGCGCATATAAACCAACCTTGCGCCAGCTTCGTCGCGCTACCAAAGCACTTTGTGGCCGGCCGCGGTGCCGCAATTGTGCTCGAGCTAGCCACAAACACGAGCTTCGTGCAAAACAATATGTGTACATAGCGGCATTTTCGCCAATTCGTCAAGAATAATTAACGAAAATTTGTTCGCTCTCCCTCCTCTTTTTCTCTCTCGCATCCCCCGATTACCTTCATCTCTCCTTCTTCTTCCACGGACACTCTGCTCCTCGTCAACGCTATCGCCGATAAAACTTTTTACGCGTGGCGTAAACCTCGTCGCCGCGAATGCCGCCGCGAAATACATCGACGAATGTCGTAAGACAGCCCGATGGGTTGTTTGGTTTGAGATATGGATCGACGGTGTGCCCCCTATAACCGTGTTGGTTCCCTGATTCTTATGGGACGGGTCCTTCAATGGCTTCGAGTGGCGATTTTTTCTCCACCAAAACACGGTAATATTGGGTAAAGGTGTAAAAGCGCGTGTCGTCAAAGTAATTGTGCGAATCAAATCGGACATGGAATTTTCCCGAGTATCGACGAGATTTGCGAGCGAGCGCGAAGACAGCATCGACTCAGTGTTTTTCTTTTAAGCGTCCGACGAGCATTCTCCTGTTTTCGCTTTAATGTCGAACTCGGAGACTTCCTACAAGTGAGAATGTGACAAGGAGCAAACTAATACTAACAGTTTTCGCATTAAGGTAAAAAGAGCCGGCTTTCGCAAGCCGGGCTTCCAGAGTGCGATGAAACAGCAAAGTTGCATTACTATCGGCATTACCGTTATTATCGTTTAATCGCGCAGTCCACTTATATACAAATGAATAATCGCGTCTTGAACATCCTAATACGAGATTTCACGGAAACATTTGACGATGGACATTAAAACGTTGTGACGCATAATGGCCTCCTTTTCCTTCGGGAAAAAACCGATTCACAGTCACCTTTAAATATAAGATGAGCTATAACAAGGTATATGCCGGCCCTTTTTAATTCGCTTTAAGTCCGTAATACGCGCATGCTCGCATCTGCCGTTTTAATTCCGCTTTTTATTAAAACGAATGTTTGCATGTGAAATTATTATTTGAATCCGCATGAAAAGTTATTTCGCTAAAATAATTTATTTTCATTTCTCGTTATTAAAAGAAATGGTGCATAAAATCAACTAATACGCTCATAACCGGAAATGGCGCGGCAATTCATTATCGATTAATCATTGGAGCACCGACGAATGTAGCATTATATCCGCCCTGCTATTAATATCGATATCAGCTTCCGCGATTAATGCCGATTCGCGACGATCGGATTAAATTCGATTCACTCCCGCGGGATCGCATCTCGTAGAAAAGTGATTTATCCTGTTAACGCATCGCGCGGACGAGACTTGATCAAATACTTGAAAAGTATTTTTTTCTTATTGTTTTTTTCTCATTTTTTTTATCCACACAACTGATACTTTACATTGCTTTCTTAGATTGCGTGCACGGCACTTCTGCCTAATTTTCGTGTCAACAGTTACAGCAGATTTTTTTCAGACACGAAGCTTCCCACGAGAAGGACTCTTGTGCCGCAATTTCGACCTACTTACACGGAGCCACCCTCTTTCGCATTGTGTGTTTTGAAACAACCGAGATATCCCAATGCGTCACCACTGTCGTGGTGAGATTATCTTCGTACGTCTCTGTGGCGTCTGCGAGATCCATTCTCGACGAAGTAATACCGATTCCGGCGAGTTTCTGAATTGCTCACGTCACACGTCAAGCCCCGCCGCAAACGGCAAACGGGATCGAATCGAGCCCCCCGGTAGCTTTAAAATGCCGCAGGCTGCCAAATATCTGGCAGCGTTCTCCTCGGCGACACGAGTCGCCAGAAGAAACCCTCTCGGGAGGGTGGGCGACGCGCTGGTGTGTTCGCTTGGGTGTTTCGAGGCCGCGTAGCAGGGAGCTTGCGCCTAGCCAGGCCGACTGGCTCGAGCTTGCGAGCTTTCTAGCAGCAGCCAGTCGCCGGCTGCCGGGCCACGACCTCGCATCAACCCCCGGCGCGCTCTCGCTCGTCCGTTCTCGTTCGTTCGTTCGTTCGTTCGGCCGCTTCGTTCCGATGCTGTACGCGAGACAAGGAGAGAGCTTTCACGGCCACATTTCCCGCATATCCTCGCGAGTCTGCGTCCGAATTTCCGACGCACCACTGTCACCAGTCTCCGGCTAGCCGCGAAGGCGTCACGACCGAAAGAGCAGACTTCTCTCCAGAGAGAAAGAGAGAAAGAGAGAGAGAGAGAATAGCAGCTTTCGCGTGAAAATTCTTACCGTCCACAAGATTCCTCACGTCTGAGTAACCGATCGTTTCGATTAAGCCGTCGCGATCGCGTTTCTCGCGCCGTTCGACAGAATCATGCTCTCGTTCGGATTAACGATAGTCCACCTGTTCGACTCGATCGTCCACCTGCTTTTCGGCGATTATTCCGGACCGACTTGCACCGGGGTATCGGGCAGAAATCCCTAATGGTGTGCACGAGTGCACTTGCGAGGATTGCGGATAGCTCTCGCGAGAAGTTTTGCTAAACGCGAATTTTCGGACGTGTTTCGCGACGAGAATTCGTGTCAAGGACTGTGGTATCGAAGAGTCGAAGGTCTGGGTCGATGTGAGAATTGTCCCGTGTGCGAAGCAAGTGACGCCCGATTGCTTCTTTTTTCCCGCGACACTCCGCGGAGTATGGCGGATGGGTGACAGACAACGCGGATCCATTGCTGGCTGAAGGTGTTTCTCAGCGTCGGTGGGACCATGTGAGGTTTCGACCATGAGGGTGAGTGTTGTGTGCGGTTACAAGCTTCCTATACAGTTGACGATGCTTAGCGATTCGCTCTCGCGAGGGAACCTCGCGATTATTGTCTACGTTCGGCCTCTGGCGTTCCGCAACACACGCGGAGATCGTGCGGAGAAATCCTCTTGAGAGAGACGCGCAAATCGGATTTCGAAATTCGCCGCCGTGTGGATCGATCGGCATTGCGATTCGTATTACGTGAAAAATGTATCGTGCACGGCGCTGCGGTTATGAAAACTCGATGCGGAATGCGAATTCTGTGTTTACAATTTTGGACGTATCATAAGTTGAAAAATAGCAACGCAGAATCAAAGGAGCTTGCAGTAATTGTGTAATTTCTGCATTTTTTCTTTTAATATTATGTGAGATCTTAGTATCAGTGTGAGAAGAGTACGCGGGAAGATTGCATTTACTTACTTATTGTTACATACATACACTAACAAAAAAATACTTGACAATTTATTTGTGAGGTGTAAAATTTATTTCTGTGAAGTAAAGTTTATTTTTGTGAGATCAAGTTTATTTCTCTCTCTGTGAGTAAACTTTATATTCCACAAGTAAATTTTCAAATATTTTTTTCTCAGTATAGATATTTCTTTTCTTTTTTCTTGGTGTAAAACTCAGAAAAATGCATGCACACAGTATACAATAATGGTCAATACTACGTGAGTTATTCACTCAAAGCTAATACCGCCTCATAATGTCACTTTTGCTAATCCTCTAAAAAATTGTCTTGTTGAATAATATTATCGATAAATTCTTTCGGTAATTTATGTGTATTACGTCTCTCTCGCATTCAATCTCAAATGTGGCTTTGTTTTCAGTTGCTTGATAATCCATTTATAAATTATCCTCTGTGTATTTCTGCCTGCGCAGCATACATCGCGTGTCGAAACAAAGTATTCAGCACTGTACGCGAAATATATGCATGTGCAATTCCCTCTCTTTTTTAGAAACTGTGAATAAATGTTTGATGTGTATTTCCTCGTCAAACACACAGACTTTCGCAATCATAAAAGCGTGATCCGATCACCCGTTTGTAATACCAGTGCCTGTCTTATTTATTTGATATTTAAAATGGAACAAATATTTCGACGACCTTCATAAAGGCTAAACAATCAGAAGCTATAACTGCGGTTTTCATCGAGTAAACACACGATGCATTACAGCCTTCGGAACAGTTTCGATTGTTTCGTGCTAACTAATCACTGTAATTGATTAACCGAAAGCAATTTTCAGCAACAACTGTTTCAATTGAAAACTCATGTTAGCGTATATGCACCGGTCACACTTTGATGTGCACCTGGTGCGTATTACGTACTTTCGGTTTATATGCTGCGAGCCGTCTAGAGGCACAAACGTATAAAAGCTGCAAAATCCTTATTACAATTTATTATAAATAGTAAATTTTGAATGGACGTTTTAGCACTGGTTACTATAGAAGATCCTTTGAAAAGCTTGCTTATGAAAGGCCTTCTCTTTTGAAAGAGAAAGGCCTGCTAGTGCCAGTTTATGCCTCTTAAAAACATGTTTTAAAATTTTAAACAAAAAAAAGATGCGTGAAAGCTGTGTGCAATGATATATGATCATCATTATGATTTATTAATATATACATTCATTATGACAGAAATAAATTGTAATACGATGTAAAATAAGATTACACAGCTTCTATATGTTTCTCTCTCTTTCCTTCTGTTCTTTAGTACTTAAATATATTTTTTTTAAAGTTTAGATATAGAAGACTTTTTGGCTAAGATCTTACATAGCGATCGTTAGCAAGGAATAGATCGACATTCTGCAGTAATTCATTATCCTTTCATTTCACGTGTGCTTCTCATATTTTAGAAACTGAAATGTGCTAACAAAACATCTGCTATGTTTCTACCACATTCCTTAGTAAGATAGACTTTGTTGACGGTCTATTCCTGAACTACTAAACACATAGTAAAATTGAGAGGAAAGTGAAATTGTCAAATATAACGATATCTGTAATAAGAAATGATTCAAGTGACAACGGGTTAAAGTCATCTGGGGAATTACAGTGAGTTAGCTCTCCGGTGCTGTCGAGCCCGTAACACCAACGCCATAATACCCTTGGGCGAATTTTCATCCATGGTAGTTGGAGCGCGGCGTAGTATAACTTCTACTAACTTAGACGATTCAAATTGGGAAATGTCCCAGACTGCACCTCATGAGAATGACTTAATCGATCATTTTTCTGTGATTCTAACTTCACACGCACAGAAGAACAATATAAGCTGCGACAGCGAGAATCTGTGTGCGATAGCTAAATCTTATTTATAACATATGAATGTCTATAAATATAGCTGCAGTAAACTGTAGTAGCTGCGTGTTAAACATAAAGACAAAATGTACTTGTGTGCAAATTGCTATTAAAGATTCAATTGCTCGATCGGATTTCTACTCTGTAAACTATGAAAAATATTATTACGGGGACAAAAATTGAGGAAACCAATATTTGTCGAAGAGAGTTCAATTCAATTAATCTTCGGACTTATTTATAATTATTCCGATGCGTTATCACGATGAGAGGTATAACAGGTCACTTTAAAATTCCGAAGAATCTCTAACTACGTCTCCATCGTGATGCTGAACCACTACTCGAGCCTATTAAAAGATGCACACGGTGATAAACTTGGAAACTCGCCGCCGTACTACGTAAGTTCGGTCGCAAACTTGGGTGGTAAATTTTATTTGCACGGCTAACACGTCGGTACTTGCCGAAGATTTTCCCCTTGATAGTTTCGGGTGCAGCTTAGAAAAGAAAAAAGAAATGCTTGAGAGACATCCACAGCGTACTTCACTTCAAGCTCGAGTTGGCGCGAGAAATTTCGAAAAGTTCTGGACAGGTGTCGACGAGAAGAGCCGGAACGTTTCTCAAGATAAATTGCACATTTCGCCCGACCAAAAAATCCGGCTTTAAAACTTCAAACGATGAATCGCGACGCGAGGATTTGCCTTCGTCTGTACGTATAAAGGCCGTCCGCGGGGTCATTTTCAATCGATCGATCCCGATCGTGTTCCTATGACGGGGCGGATCACGGTGATGTTAAAATTAAATCCGTGAAAAAACATCCCGAGACTTCACGTAGACGGCAACGCAAAAATGGAAATCACAGCGATAAGAAGCTGCCAATTACGGACGTCATCAGCAACTGCTTTCACACTTTGAACTAATGGAATCCGCAAGCTCGCCTCACGTGTTTCGAGCTTCATATTTATATTAGCAATGCAAATTGCGAGGGAGATTGTATGCGGATAGCGTTGCAACAACAACGACCGAGCAACATCACACCGGCTTCCGAACGTTTACATAAAAGTGAAATCAACAGACACGTATAAACATTGTTTATGTTGAGGTATTCTTATTTTGTGCGTTATAAAACTGCATCTTATTAAAAATAATCTGAGAGAGAAAGAATGTACATGGGAAAAAAATGTACACTGAGAGAAAAAAAAATCTAAAAATTAGTAAATATTTATTTGGAGTAGGTACTCTCTGACAGTATATTTACTTAAATTTAAATTCTTTTATTTAAATAGAATAAATAATTGCTTTTCATGAAAAACTAAAATTTTTTCAAGGTTTTAAGAGAAAGTAAATTCTTATGTAAGAAATATTTTATATTAATATAAGTAAATATGCTGTTAATACATATCCTACCAAATAAATATTTACTATTCCTTAGATATCTTTTTCTCTCTCACAGTGTAGAATTGAGTAAATTTATTAATATTCTCTGTTGGATTCATTGTTTCTTATAGAGTTTACAGAATGTAATAAAAAAAGAATAGAAAATTAAAGAAAAGAAGACGAGAAAGAATCTTGCCGAGTTAAACTATGTACAAAAAAATAAAGAAAAAAGAATATGATATAAGTAAAGAGAACATGTGAACATAGAGGGAGGGAAGAAGAGAGGAGTGGGGAGGGTAGAGCGGTAAAAGCGATGAAAGAAGCATAAAGTTCGAACTTCAATTATCTTTCCTTTGACGTGAAATAAAACGCAAACTCTAATCGCTCGATATTTCTCTTTATCGTCTCTAAAACACGCTAAAAAACGTAAAACGTGCATTGCCAAAGGTAAGGGAGCATTCCGAACCGCTGAAAAGCGCGGGCGTGAAGCGACCGTGCGTTTTCGGCTCGCGGTGTTTACATTGCCGGGTAATACTACTCGCACGGTCGGAATTTCAAAAACTTTGGCCAACAATCGCCCACTCGTATCGCGAGTTAACCATGGGTGAAAACGGCATTAAACTACCCCCGAAATAGTCGGCGGATTTCACGACGGACGGCGCGTTGTTACTTGCCGTTCCGCCGGCAGCGCGAGGACGGATGATTTAGCGCGGCTCTTCGTGCAAGTCACTTCGGACAAATTTCTTGCGCGCACGTAAATTTCATATGGATTGTAAACGAGCTGTAAATCTTCGGCACATTGCGCGTAACACGTCACACGGAACACACTTCCCGCCGAGGGAAGTAATTCGCCGTTTTACGACCGCGATACCGGACAGGGGCTTAGTTTATACGGTTCTGATTCGGAGCCATACGTCGCGACTGAATCGACACGATAATCCACTCGAGGGACTCGCGCGCGAATTCTATGTTCGCGAAAATGCTCTTTGTCAGAAAGTAACGCAGCACATTTAATTTCGTGGAACTGCGGCTCTCGTTACAGCAAAAAGTGGCGAAAATGCTCGGAGTCTCGTAATTTTTCAAATGAACCTCCTATATGTGCGCGCGCGCATACGTACACACATATACACACAATTTGGTTCTAATTAATTTTGTAATTAATAATTAATTTTGTAATTAATTCCAATTAATAGAGAAACATATGTAATATGAATAGCGCGAATACATGATCACACGTGTAAAACCGAATTTATCAACGTTTTCCATTTTATGTAACAAAATTATGATAATGTGCACGGTTCACCGGCAGTCTGTCTGCCGGATATGT